TTATTTATTTTTGGGACAGAGAGAGACAGAGCATGAACGGGGGAGGGGCAGAAAGAGAGGGAGACACAGAATCGGAAACAGGCTCCAGGCTCCGAGCCATCAGCCCAGAGCCTGACGCGGGGCTCGAACCCACGGACCGCGAGATCGTGACCTGGCTGAAGTCGGACGCTTAACCGACTGCGCCACCCAGACGCCCCCCAAATAAATTCTTAAATAAAACATCGATAGGGTTAAAGATCAAGGCTCCCTGGGGATTTATTCATTGCTATTTGGTCTCAAGTACTTCAATTTCTGCAGAATTGCTGAAACAGCTTCATAAATCCTGGTACACTTTGAAAACCATTGATCATGTCCGGTGTTCCTCCCTGTCCCCACATCCCGTTACCGTTAGGAAACCTGAGATCCAGAGAAGTTAGAGGACTCCTTAATTACTGCCTGAGCAAAAGTAAAACCAAGAACTTTTAATCTGCAATTAAACTCAACCTTTTCCATTATTACTTTTTCTTTACCAGTTCTACTCAAAATATAGTCAGTTTTTACCCAACATATATATTCTCAGTCTTGTGTTAATTAATCTCTAGGTAACCAAGGTTTCTGTGGTACATATGTATGTATTCATTGGTGTCTGTGTATTTCTATAATACCTCGAAGATTCCAAAGTGCTTCGTGACTCTCTTTAACTGTATAGTTCCCTGTGTTGGGAAGGTATCTGCCTTACTGTTCATTTAGCAAACCTCTTATAATTCATTTTTTAAAGTACTTTATTGATACATAATGCACATACTGTAACATTCACCCATTACAAACGTACATTCAATTTTTAGTAAACTTACCGAATTGTGCAACCACATGTAGTTTTAGAAAATTTTTATCACTTCAATCAGATTCCATATGTCCATTTATAAGCAATATCTGTTCTAAACCCCAGCCAACCAATAACTACTTTCTATCTTACAGATTTGCTTTTTCTGGACATTTCATATAAACAAAATCCTACAATATATGGTCTTCTGTGTCAAACTTCTTTCACTTAACATACATGTAATTAATATCTATGCCAGGACTACTAATTCTTCACAAGACAAAAGGAAAGACTTCAGAGTCTGAAGTAAATTAAACCTAATCACACTCTGCTACATGATCAATTCACTACAAATAAAATCCAAACGGCTGACGTTGGATTAGAGAGCCTAGTGATCCAACCCTATCTACTTATCTGACCTCAGACCCACTTTTCTCCTGCCTGCTACTCTCCAATAAGCCCTTCTTTGGTTCCTTCAATGAGCCAAGGTCATTTCCACTTTAGAGTCTTTGCACAAACCATTCCCTTTGACTGGAATATGTTCACTCTTTCTTGATTCATATCTAATCTTAAGTAACACCACTTTAGAGAGGCCTCCTTTGACCACCCAATTACAACAGAGACCCAGCCAAATCTCTAACATATATCAGTCTACTTGAATTTCTTATACTTCCCACTACCTGATGTTTATTTTCTTGTTGTTATTGCCTCTCCTTCCTACTAGAATGTAAGCTCTTTGAAAGCAGAGACTTTGTTAGACAGATTTATCAGCGTATCCAAGGCAAGCAAATAATAAATAGGCAAACAATATTTGTTGAATAAATGAATCACTAAACCTCTTAATGATGTCTAACTTGGTAGCCTTTACTACACATTCCCTTTAACAAGAAACATTTTCATAGGAATATGGGGTTTGCAATAAAAAAAACTATTTTATGGCATGCCCATAATAGAATGTGTATCAACTGGTTTTGTGTGTTTTGAAGTGTTAGTCTACACACCTACTTACCTTCATTAATACTGATAATCAAGGGGCGCCTGGGTGGCTCAGTCGGTTGGGTGTCTGACTTCGGCCCAGGTCATGATCTCGCGGTTCATGGGTTTGGGCCCCACGTTGGACTCTGTGCTGACAGTTCAGAGCCTGGAGCCTGCTTTGAATTTTGTGTCTCCCCCTCTCTCTGCCCCTTCCCTACTCATGCTCTGTCTCTCAAAAATAAATAAACATTGAAAAAAAATACTGATAATCAAGAGTCTAGTTAATAAACTACAAAGTTGATGAAAAATACTGAATAGTTGATTCTGAGCTCTCTATGCTGCTTTAGGAAACAATGATAAGATAGGTTCAAAAGGGGCTAACAAACTGACAGGCTTAAAAAAATCTGTGCCCATTATTTCCAGGTTAGGAATTCCATACTGCTACTCTTTAACCTAAGGTAAAAATGTTGTAAAACATATACTATTCAGGTCTGTCACATTACTCAAAACAGTACTTCTGTTCAATAACTTGATGGCTGTTTTTGAACTCATGGGAAAGCTTTCACAGAGATGACAGAATCTCTTTCGAAAGTGGTGCCCACTTCCCTTTTAAAAAATTGAGAAAGACAGCATGGCAAGGTAACCTGTTAACATTCTACATTTAGCAAACATATTTCTGAGAACTGAAATCTACTCTTTCAATTAGGCCATGCTAAAAAAAAAAAAAAAAGCACAAGCTCATTAACTTTCTAAGAAAGTTTTTATCTGTCTAGTTTGGTGATTCTCAAAATGTACTAGCAACTTCAGCATCACCTGAGAATTTGCTAGAAATGCAAATTCTTAGACCCCCACCCCCACCCCAGATCTACTATATCTGAAAATTTCAGGGGAAGGCCAGCAATCTCTTTTATAAGCCCTCTAAGTAATTCTCATGAATACTAAAGTCTGAGAACCACTCATGTAAGTTATTGTTTTTCCCATAAATGCTAACCCTAAATACTTAGAAGAAAAAGAGAAGATACTAGAAGGAAGGGGACTTTGAAAACCTTAGGTATTATGCAGGGTATCTATACATTTGTTTTAAAATGTAAAAGTGCCATGAATATAATGACTGTGCTTTATCTTAGAACACTTAGAAACAGTGTCAATAATTACCTCTTTCTCCTAGAATATAAATAACTTGGGTGGTACAAAAAGTATACTTTCATAGAAATTTCATCAAATACCTAAGGCAGAACCTAAAAAGGCACTTCCTGTTTTTCACACAAGTAGTAAGTCATTTTCATACCCAGATTAGAGAATAGAACCAAGATGGGGAAACAATGCTTTGTAGCTGCCCAGAAAAATCCTATATAAAACTGAGAGAAAGCTGAATTGTTAAAAATAATCTATGTAATATGGATATGATCTTAAGGGCTTCTATGGAGACTGTCAATTCTCACAGTAAATTTCCTCTCAAATACCTTCATCTATTTCAAACATGAGAACAATAACACTGTACCTGTCTATCAACCTAGAGGATCAGGAGGAGGACAGGGTCACCCTAATTTAGTTCCTGCCAGTCTAAATAACAGATATGCATGTGATGAAGACAAAAATCTTTTGAAAAGTTTTATGTTTAGAAAGAAGCAAAAAACTTTAAATGATAAGTCATGATAATTTAGACCAAAATATGATGGAAAGGGGCTAGGTAACTTTCCTCACCAGAAATCAAAATAAAACCAATATGAAAAAAATATATATACTCCATTAGCTTAAGGTTTATTACACATCTTTGTGTATCACATGATTAATTTATTCTTCTCTTTTTTTCCTTTCTCCTGGCAACCATCAGTTCTTAAAAAGTACATGGTCTACAGGAAAGAATACTGGACTATGAATCAGGAAATTCCATTCACTTACTCCAGCACAGGAATGTTCAAGAGGGTTTTTAAAAGTGTAAAAAAGAGGGGCGCCTGGCTGGCTCAGTCAGTTAATCATTGGACTCTTGATCTCATCTCAGGTCATGATCTCATGGTTCACGAGATATAGCCTGGCTTCCTTGAGATTCTCTCTCCCTCTCTCTTGCCCCCTCCCCTACGTGAGCACAGGTGCACAAACACTCTCTCTCTTTCAAAATAAATAAACTTTTTAAAAAAAGTGCAAAAAGGCCTTGAATTGGCAAGGTTTTTTTTTACGTATGCATTTTATTAGAAGACAAAAGAGAGCAAAATTCTTTGCCAATTTAAATGTAATAACTAAGTGCAAGTAATGAATACTAAAAGGTGAATCATTTATATCTTTTCTCTGATTCTTCAGAACCAAAGGCAATATTTCTGAGATGACTGGCTAGCATGTCAATTAAATTGAGATATTCTTCCTAGGTAACGCAGAAAATAAAGACACCTCTAAAGCAACAGATACAAACTGGTGTCCAATGTAAATGTATCTTCTTGTTGTAAATATCTATTTTAAATTATGCTTTCCAGGAAGACACACTGGGGATATCTCATTTCATAGATTCTAAGATGTACATTTTTTTTCTATTAAAATATATCTGAAATAGGAATAAGTCCTAACAAGGAATTAAGTCTTAAAACCACTGTTGGCCATGAGCAGTCACAGTTGCCATAGATCATATATGTGTGAACATCAGAACACAAGATACCAAACTTCAGCAGCTTGGAAGAAAATCCCAGAAACAGTTATGGAGCACTCTTTTAACTCCTCAAAACTAAGACTGTTGGGTTAAAAATAACCAATACACTGAGATAATTACATAGGTGGCTTAAAAGCCTAATATGATTGGCTTTTGGCTCTTTTACAGATTCCTTTAAGAAATGCTGTATCACGATGCTCGTGATGGGACAGAAAATAATAACCATATGGAAAAACATGCATCAGCGATGCAGAGTAAGTTATTTGGAAGAGTGTGAAATGGCTTTAGGAATACAGAACCAATTTAATTAGATTAAATTTCCCTGGTTTTGTATGCGAAAGCTGGATATAAGATTAAAGTCTTTCTGTAGCTAATTTCAGTGGTCTATTCAATGAGGGGGAAAAAGATCTAAGTTCTAGGGAAATAGTATAAAATATTTAATATTTAAAAATTTAGTACACATTAATGTATTACATAAAATAACATCTTAAAATTCATGAAATATAACAAAATCTACCTGCAATTTGTAGTTTTCTAAAACACTTTTGCTAACTACCATTAAGAAAAAAATCTTCGTAGCATTACCTGTAAACCACAGCAGCCTACAGCATTCATTATGGAAGCATTGTGAATAACTCGGTAAGAGATTCCCAGTTTTGTTGCTCTCAGAATAAGATCGCTGTGTGTGGTAGCCCTGTAGTGGGAAAAGACCAGGTTGGATTAAAGTAACACTGACTTTTTAAGAGAGTAAAGGTATAATATTTCATGAGTTCAAGCCAATCAAAGGGTTATGGGGGCTCCTTTTCCTCAATTCGGGGGCTTTCTGACAAGAAAAGTGTTAAGTCTACACATGCCCTTCACGGTGCTAAACTGCACTTGTTACCCTTTTAGAGCAGCCTTGGTAGCTACAGAGAAAAAGGGAAGTTGTACTTACTCTTTTGTCCCTTTAACACCTGCAAACACATCTGTGGAATGGAAGTTCAGCAAGTGAACTCCTGAGCAGCAATTCTCAAACTTTTTCGTCTTAGGACCCCTTTAAACTCTTAAAATGACTGCTCTGAGTTCTAAATGATGGCACAACTAGACCTACTCTATACTTTCTGCTCTATTTTGAAGGTTTCTTTTTTTGTATTTTGAAATACTACAGAACAGATGATAAAGAACATTTTTATAGGCTATCAAGTTCTGCCTTTATATTAGGGTTCTATCTGACATAATCGTAGTTGCATTTTACATCTGTCTAGCAGTGATTTTATTTATAACTGTTTTCAGTCTGGTTACTGTATATAATTGTATGTGTGCATGTGTATGTGAGTGCACATTCTGCCTGTTGCCTTTCCTTTGTTGAGATAAATCTAATGATTATGATAAGATAAGACTTTGGTGGAGAGAGAATATATGTAAATGCAAGTATGGATACTATGAAATGTAACCCCACATCAATTTAGAACTGCATTATTAAAAGCCTTTTTCCCCTGGATGAAAACTCCAGGTCCTGCTGGGGAAAGCAACATTGGCATGTTTGAGAAACTACATACAAACCAGCAGAACCTGTCAACTGGTCAATGCATACCAAGTAGGAAGATCAAGGGCTTTCACCCCATGAGGCAGTCAGAAACAGATTAACAAATGCCCACCAGGGAAGCCTGTTTTTAATCACACATAAAATAAAAACTAGTATGAAAAACAATCATTAATTTGATTTAGAGCAAGCTTTTAAAAAATAACATAAATGACAGTTATAAAGAATGTTTTTAATATCATCTTCAACAGAATTTCACTACTTAACACTAAGATTAAACAATACTGAATTAGTTATTTGGTGCGTTATTTGAACAGATGAGCAGAAAGAAAACCTGGTTTAAAATTATACCTCTCTTTACCACAACTTCATTTAAAATGACCAGATGTGGTTGGTATACTATGAAGATTTAATGACCTGACAAAGTGATCTGATTTTGTGAAACTGCCATGAATGTGATTAAATGAGTCCCTCAGATTTCTGCTATGAAAAAATTGGTATTTTATCATCATGATTACCCAAATTATACTGCTTCATGGAAAAGAAAAAACTGGCTTGAAACACAGGTTTAAACCATCATATTGGGCATTCCTTCTAGATCACGAATCATGAAAATGCTTCATTTTGGTGACTGGAAAAGTGTGTGTGTGTGTGTGTGTGTGTGTGTGTGTGTGTGTGTGTAAACAAATTTATTACTACCTCTGGGCACATGGCTCTATCCAAAATCACGTGTGTATATGTATGTATATATGATTTTGGATAGAGCCACGTGCCCAGAAATAGTAATAAATTTGTCTTAATAATATTCTTATTACTTGGAATTGCTCTGAAAGCAATTTCAAAAGAGATTCAAGAATGTTCTGATCAATGGAATCAATAAAATAAAGAACATAAAGATGACCAATTTAAATATGTAAGACTTGGTATGTTTATTTTATAATAACGCTAGTTTGCAGATACAGTACTGCCACATTTGACAGTGCTATGGCTTGTGATCTGAAAGTTCATTAATATTTGTAATGATATGCTGAAAGTGATGTTCTCATAAACTACTGGAAGCATTATAAACTGGTACAGTCCTTTGAAAAGTAATTTGACAATACATGCTTGAAAATAACCATGTTCAAAACTTTTGTTTTTTTTTTCTTTGGTATTATAAACTTTTTGGAGAAAAAAAATCCAAAATGTAGGGATGAGAGAATGGAAGGAGGGGAAAAGGGTCATATACATTAATCCATACACGGCAGCTTTACTTATATTGGAGAAATAAATGGACTAATGATAATAACGTTGACATCTATTGAATAGCTACTAGATGCCAAGCACATCCATTGCATGGAATGGAAAAAAATCAAATGACCTACATTAAAGCAAACAGAAGACAAGTGAATAAAGATATGTTTTTATGTATGTGTATGCCATGAAGGAAAAGGCACACAACATAAGGATAAAAAAAATTATGTGTTCATTGCTTATAAAATATACACGGCTACAGAGCATACTAAAATAAAGAATGGAATAACAAAATGGAATCACCATTAAAATTTGTTTAATCGTGACCTTGGTCAACTAAATTCTTTATGGGGATAGAAAGCTTAAGACTGTCATTGCTCACATGACTGGGTCAGATCTATTGACATACAATTTTTTTTAGAGTCATTTATATTCTTTATGTGATTAACGTCCACATTCCTATCAGTAACCTGGATAAAAGGGAAAAGATGAGAACTATATCAACTGACTTAACTGACTTTCAATTACCTTCTTTCAAAAAAATTTTTTTTTTCAACGTTTATTTATTTTTGGGACAGAGAGAGACAGAGCATGAATGGGGGAGGGGCAGAGAGAGAGGGAGACACAGAATCGGAAACAGGCTCCAGGCTCTGAGCCATCAGCCCAGAGCCTGACGCGGGGCTCGAACTCACAGACCGTGAGATCGTGACCTGGCTGAAGTCGGACACTTAACCGACTGCGCCACCCAGGTGCCCCCCTTCTTTCAAAATTTAAGAGTGGATGATGGTGATGGCTGCACGACAGTGTGAATGTACTTAATGTCATTGAAGTGCACACTTAAAAATGCTTAAAATGGTTAATATCATGTTATATAAACCTTATCACAATTTAAAAAATATTAGAATGAAGAATTTGAGATTAAGTACTTTTCAAAGTTTATATTCAGATAAGGGGAAAAGGATTTAAAAATAAAAAATTTTTGTGGTTGTACATAAGGAAGAATTTTGGTGCTTTGCTGCATTCCGTATTTTCTTCCAGGTTTATGCATTTAATGCACACAAATCCTAATTCTTCAAGGCCCAATGAAAATGTACACATTCCCCACCATTCTGTCTGCAAGTACCATATCTCAATAGTAATCCAGTTGGTAAATTAAAAATAACCAAGGTACAGTAATTATTACACAAATCTGAATGTAAGATATGCATGATTATTGGTCAATGACATAGAGCAAATTAATTGCCCAGGAGTTTAAAAAAAAAAAAAAAAACAAAAAACAGGCCGCCCTCATTCCTAAATAAAATAATGGAGGACTCATGGAAGAGGTGGCATCTGAGCTGGGTCTTAAAGAATCTACTATTTTACTGAACAGAAACTGGGGATGACTACAGTTGACACTGCTGTACAGTGTATCTGAAAGTTGTTAAGAGAGTAGATCTTAAGGTCTCTCATCACAAGGAAAAAACTTTTTTCTTTCTCTTTTTTGTATGATAGACGTTAACTAAACTTACTGAGGTAATCCATTCAAAATATGAGTCAAGTCATTTCACTGTTCACCTTAGACTTACACAGTGCTGTTATGCCAATTAAATGTCAATAAATTGGTAATAAAAGAAACAAACTGGCAAGAGAAGTCTATTTTAAGGAAAAAGTACGAGCAGCAAAAACATGGTAGATAAATACTGCAAAAACACTTACGAAATGGCAAAACTGAACAATCTGACTCTAGCACAATAAAAACAAAGAGTAACCAAAGAAGAAAGTACATAGACTATTAAAAGACTTAGGCCATGAAGTCAACTTCAGTGTCTACTCAAGGTTTTTGAGCAGGGTAGTAATAGCATCAAGGCACTTTAGGCCTCAATTTTTCATGTATGTGGAATTCTCCTTCTACCCCGAGTCCCACAGACCTCCTCCACAATTTCCACCTACTGAATTCTACACAGACCCAACTCAAGCACCAACTCCTCCATAAAACCACCACAGAAAAACTCCAAACTCTTTGCCTTTTAATTTACACTTTTTTATCCTCATCCTCGACCTAATCTTTCAGCAGTGTATCAGATTTCACCACTCTTTCCTCTCTAAAGTATCTCTTTTCTTCGCTTCTGTGACAACACACTCTTGGTTTTCTTCCTCCTCTGGCTCTTGACAGACCACGAAATACAAGTTTCCTAAGGCTTGATCCTAGGTCTTCTTTTCCCCTTGTTCTTTTCTAAAGTGATTTCAGGGGCGCCTGGGTGGCTCAGTCGGTTGAGCGTCCGACTTTGGCTCAGGTCATGATCTCACAGTCCGTGAGTTCGAGCTCTGCGTTAGGCTCTGTGCTGACAGCTCAGAGCCTGGAGCCTGCTTTGGATTCTGTGTCTCCCTCTCTCTCTGCCCCTCCCCCACTCATGCTCTGTCTCTGTCTATCTCTGTCAAAAATAAATAAACATTAAAAAAATTAAAAAATAAAGTGATTTCATCCGTTTCTCTAGCTTTAAACACCGTATCTCTCCCTCTCTCTCACCCCATATATACTCATGAATTCAAAAGCCACATATCCAAGAAAACCCCTTGAGCTCAAGTAGCAGATATCAAATTGCTTACATGACATCTCAAATTTAAAACATTTCCAGAACCAATTCTTGTTTTCCCCTACAAGTTTTCATCATTTCAAGAACTGGCACTATCAACTACTCAGTCACTAAAGCCAGAATTCTGGAAAACTTGCTTCTTTCCTTTTCCTCACCTACATACATAATACTGGCATTCCTCCTTCTAAATTCTTCCCAGTTTGCCTTTTTCTGTCTTCCACCAGAGCCACCTTGTCTCCCTAAATCCCTTCATGCAAGCATTTAGAATGATCACTTAAGAATGTCAATCAGACTGTGATTCTTTCCTGCTTAAAAACCACCAAAGATGTGCCAGAGTACTTCAAACAAAACCCTACCCCCACCAAGGCCTTACAAGATCTGGGTCTCACTCACTTCTTTAACTCCCTCTCATTCCCTCTCCCTGCTACTCCAGTCACTTTGGCCTTCTAGGTCTTTGAATACATTCTTGCTGTTCCATCTGCTTACAATGTTCTTCCCTTCTGCTATTCCTTTCATCTTTCAGACACCTGTTTAAATATTACCTCAACAAAAAGGATTTTCCATATACCCTGCACAAATTAGCCTATTCCTGTGAGTCCTTTTTTTCCTTGACAGGCCTATCAAAATTTTAATTTGTTATTTTTTCTTTCATTGATGTCAGCCTCCCTTAATAAACTGTGAAGCCTGTGTTTTATCATCTAACATATATCCAGCATGTAGGAGTGCCTGTCATGATATACGTGTTCCAAAGATATTTATTGAATGGAGAAATGTCAGTCTAAGATATGCCTCATCTTCCTTTGTGACCCCAGGCAAAATATTAAACAACTCTTTCCATTAATATTTCATTGATATCTACTATATTGTGAGGGAAACTAGGGAGATAAAATTGTGAAGGATAGCCTACAAATATAAAAGGTAGAGGTATATATTTATTTAAAAAAATGCATTGTGAGGCAATGTATGAAAACTCATATGAATAATACTTCAGCAGTTAGAAACAGAACTTCTCATCTGGGTAATAAAAGACTGCATCACTGAGAATATGATGTCTGAGTTAGGCTTCAAAAGATGGCTGGACTCTGACAATCAGAAATATACCAAAAGGTATTACAGATGCAGGGAAGAGTTTGAACAGATGTATAGAATGAGAAATCAAGATGATGGTGGAAGAACAAACTGGTTGGCATGAGTGTGGGCAAACCAGTACAAGAGAACCAGATACAGTTAGAAGGGCAGGCTGGACAGTACCTTTCATGTCTGGCCAACAGAGCTACTAATTCCCACTTGAGCTCAAGTAAGATTTTCAAATTGTGGCTTCACAAGTATAAATTTGGCTACAACACAGGTAATGAAATAAGAATCTGTACCTGGACCAGACAAAAGGCTACTATATTAAACTAGGGAATAAAAAAGATATAAAAAATTTTGGTTAAAAAAAAGAAAGGTCAAAAGCAGTGCTTCTCATACTAACTAGTAAAAGGTCAATACTTTAAGTTCTAAATGGTCATGGAACAATAGTTTTGTAAAATGCACTCAAAATTAATGATTAGGAAAATAAAATATAAAATACAAAATATAAGCTCCAAATTATGAGATTCAGCAGAGATAAAATTACTTCTAAAAACTGGTATAGAATTTCTAAATGCTTACTCTCAATTTCTGTAGTCCTCATCATGGACTAGTAAATTTGTGGCCTGGGACCAGTCTATAAACCTCACACTGAGCAGCACTGGTTTATTGGGCTCTGTCAGTGACTAGATGCCATGGAAGTCAAAAGTAACTCTGAGATCACTCTTTTAGGTGACTGTAAGAATTGTTATACCATCAAGTAAGAAAGTTTGGTGAGTTCAGAAGGTGTCACTATAAAAAAATATGGAATTTTGGCAGGAATCCAGTGCAATAATGAGAAAATCCTACAAGAGTTTCAAGACATTTTATACATAGAATTTTTCATCACCTTTATTTTATTTTACTATTTTCTGGCTAAAAGAAATAAATAAAAGAAAAATAGGTACTGCTAATTTGGAGGAAGACTTACAGAAAACAATGTCATAGGCTAAAACAAACTGTTATTTTTAAATGTGTGATTATACAATGTCATTTGCAACCAAACATAATAAGGAAACATAATCTCTGGCATACCATACTGATGTAAATTACTTTTTTTTTTTTTGACAGACACATGCACATGTAACTCCATTCTTTTTGAAAAACATCCTTGGTGGTGAGTTCATAGTGCTTTAATTGTCCTTATGTTCCTTAAATCTGTGACATAAATCTTGGGTCACCAGCTGGAGACAAAGAACTCCTCTGTTTTGCTTGACATTAGAGATTGATGATGCTTGACTAGACAAGTAGAAACCCATCTTTTTAGTAATGGGGAAAGAACAGAGCTCCCAAGGGATATAAGAAATTGAAATCTGAGGCTTGACAGATTTTTAAATTCAAGGCAAGTAAAGTGACAATGTTGATAAATATGAAGTGATTAAAAAAGAAAAAAAAAAGCTTAGGATAAAGGAATCAGAAGATGCTTGCAATTTACCTGAAAAATAAATGGCAGGTATAACTCTTGATAATGTAATAAACTTATTAATAATGATATACTAGTTAGGTCATTTGATGTCCTAAGTTATCTTCTAAAAGAATAGCAAAAGCAATGATACAAACTTTAGAACAGACCCTTAATAACCAATGTAAGAGTTACATATGATAACATCCTTATCAAGCAGATTTTCTTCACTTATCTCAAAGATAATGAAACTTTATGAGATTTTAGAACCTACGTAAACACAGTCCTTTATTAGGACCTGGCAAGTAAAAATTTTAAATGGAATAATTCTTACTGAGTTAAAAACAAGCAAATAAATTAAAATATCGGCTTTGACTTACCCAAATGGATCACCAACCACAAGGAATGCAACATCACAGATATCGGCATCCTTTAAAATATTATCTGCTTCTTGTTCCACTTCTTCTCTATCAGCAAGAATCAATTTTCTTCCGTAGAACTCTTCCTACAGATTTAAGTCCAATATCAAAATGAGACAGCAGGTGACCATTTACACACACACACACACTAATCTCTGGGGCTGGTGCAAATTTTGGCAACCATCCAGACATCCATACGTAGATCACTGAACAGGACTCATCAGTGAGCTAGCACTCTATAACATGTTGCAATTAAACTCTGTCTTTGGGGCTATCTTAATATCCCAAGAGGAGGTAGACCTCCTAACATCTGAGACTTTCTGCATTTTAAATTTATCTAAATCTGAGTCTAACAGACCAGGCAGAATACTGTAGAATGAACAGAGAACATGTTTGTACGAGCCTTACTTCATAAACATACTAATAAAAATGAATATATTAAATAATAACTATAAACATACATGGTAATTTGGGTTTAATTAAATTTTCCATAGGAAAACCTATAGGACTCTGGCTAAAATAAAAGGTAACTTCAATGAGAAATAATAGAAAATTAAGATTCAGTTATTTACAGAACCAGCAAACATTCCTATATAATTGCAGGAAAGATTGATTGAAAACTGTATTTCTGAGGTGCCTGGGCTGAGTGTTAGACTCTTGGTTTTGGCTCGGGTCATGATTCTAGAATCATGGGATGGGCCCCACGTCAAGCTCCATGCTGAGCCATGAAGCCTGCTTAAGATTCTCTCTCTCTCCCTCTGAACCTCTTCCCCACTCATTTTTTCTCTAAAATAAATAATAAGAAAATAAAAAAATAAATAACAATTGTATTTCCTACTTCCTGCTAAAAAGGCAGAGATGCAGGGGAGAGAAAAGAATTCTAAGTATATAGGAAGTCTCAACACACTGCTTTGTGAACCAATTCCCTGAAGTTCAACTCTAAAGAATAAACCCAGGAGGCTGACCTTAATGGGTGGCAGCATGTAAGTACAGAGAGTGAACTGATGTGCCAGTGGTCATATGGCAGTGGTTACAAACTATTATGCAAAGTCATGAATCTTATTAACTGATTTCCTGTTGAATAATATGTAATTCAAATATAGTAAAAGTAGATTCATAGACAAATACTATTTCTTACATACTGAGAAGTTTGAGCTATAAAGATTATATTAGAAGTCAAATGTTACAAGGACTGCTATAATAGAAGCGTTATCTGGTACTCAATATCTGTCAAGCAAAAGAGTAAATGAACAAATGATTAAGCATTTGAAGATAAAGGCTATAGTTCCAACTCTGATAACTATTTCTTAATACTTAACTAGAATCTGTTCTTGAAAAAAGATCCCTTCCCTTTCTCTGCATATCTTTGCAGAGATGTTCCAGAAGTTCCCAATGACAACGATGTTTTTACAGATAAAAAGTGTTCTCTTTATTTTCACTTTTATATTTTTTCTTAATAATTCATTTGCATATAACTTCCTTTAATTTCATGAGCCCAGAAAACTTATCAGTGGTAGAACATTTATATTCACATATATCTAAGACATACACATGATTACTGAAAACTGAAGGAATTCTTTTTTTCCTGAACTTCTAACATCTTTTAATATGAAATTTATTGTCAAATTGGTTTCCATACAACACCCTGTGCTCAACCCACAGGTGCCCTCAATGCCCATCACTCACTGAACTTGTAACATTTCTTTAAAAAATTTTTAAAAATCACATGTGACTAGCCTAATGCTAGCAGTAATTTTAAATCCTATTTAATACTTTATGATTCAACAACAGAAAACCCCACTCTTCTCAAGACTTCTATCATGTATCACTCCATATTTATTACTTAAGAAACATTTCATTATCTAATTGAAACACAATATTAAAAAAAAAGTATCCACATATGCATAACTGTGCACATACACCCCAAACACTCCATTATAACCAAATAGCTGATCCTTTTGAAAAAAATGTAAAAAAGGGAAGAGATAATAAAAGTAGTAAGAAACTGGTATTACATTATTCTTAATTTACCTACATTATTCTTAATTTATTCATTTACTCAAAGAATATTTCTTTTTTTAAAAATTTTTTAATGTTTATTTATTTTTGAGGGAGAGACAGAGCATGAGCAGGGGAGGGGCAGAGAAGGAGGGAGTCACAGGACCTGAAGCAGGCTCCAGGCTCTGAGCTGTCAGCACAGAGCCCGACACGGGGCTCAAACTCACAATCTGTGAGATCATGACCTGAGCCGAAGTCAGACGTTCAACTGACTGAGCCACCCAGGTGCCCCAAAGAATATTTCCTATACACAACCTCCAAGCCAACCTCTATGCTTGTTGTCGGCAAATAGTGCTGAATGAGACATACATGGCCCCTGTCCTGTGGCTTATAATGTCTAGTGGGGAATTATCTAACCACATCATTAAGTGCTATAGAAGCATGGAATCTAATAAGAGTCAGGGAAGGGGCAGGAGGGAAAAGCAGTATTATTTAACAAATAATTTTAAATTTATATTATACATTATCAAATGACTCATTAGCCAGTTTTTGTATAGCATCAGCCCTAATCTCCTCCATGAAAATGAAGGTAAAACTCAAAAAACTCATTGCTTTAAGTTGAAAGCAACGTTTAAAGCTTCTTGCTTTAAGTTGGCAGGTTTTGTATAAGGAGGGCAAGGTAAAAAGTCAAAATTAAAATTACTTTTGGGTATTCCTGGAAGGATACATGAAAAATTAGTAATAACTGCCTCTATGAAGGGGAACTGGGCTAGAAATATTGCAATGTATACACCATTTAGTATCTTTTAAATTCTCTTTTTTTTTTTTTAATTTTTTTTTTCAACGTTTTTTATTTTATTTTTTGGGACAGAGAGAGACAGAGCATGAACGGGGGAGGGGCAGAGAGAGAGGGAGACACAGAATCGGAAACAGGCTCCAGGCTCCAAGCCATCAGCCCAGAGCCCGACGCGGGGCTCGAACTCACGGACCGCGAGATCGTGACCTGGCTGAAGTCGGACGCTTAACCGACTGCGCCACCCAGGCGCCCCTTAAATTCTTTTTTAAATGTGTATTTATTTTGAGAGAGAAAGAGAGACTACGGGAGGGGCAAAGAGAGAGGAGAATCCTAAGTAGGCAAAGAGAGAGAGAATCCTAAGCAGACTCTATGCTATCAGCACAGAGCCCTACATGGGGCTCGATCATACAAACCGTGAGATCATGACTTGGGCCAAAATCAAGGGTTGGGACCCTTAATCAACTGAGTCACCTAGGCACCCCTAATATCTTTTGAATTTTATACCATACAATGTATTACCTAGTCAAAAAAAAAAAAAAAAAGTAGAAGCCAGAAGTAGAATGTGTAAACAAACAAAATCTTAAACACACACACACACACATTAACATTTAAAGAAAGAACAGAGAAATAGGGTTTACAAAAGGGACTGAGAAAAATGGAAAAGTACAAATAAAACCAAGAAAAAGTCATGTCTTAAAAGCCAGCTTCAAGGAGTGAGCAAGTATGTCAAAAGCAGTAAAACAGGTAAGAATTGAAAAGTATCCTCTGGCATTCTCAGCTATTAAATAATTGCTCAACAAACAAATATTTCAGAGGAATGGAAATCAGCTCACAGGAGTATGAGACATGAGTGAAGTAGGGACAATAAAAGTATGCTGCTTTTTCAAAAAACTTTGGATAAATAAGAGAATAGTAACTATGGAGAAAAGATATTTAAAAGTGGAGAATTTTGGGGTGCCTGGCTGGCTCAGTCAGTTGAGCATCTGACTTCGACTCAGGTCCTGCATCAGGCTCTGTGCTGACAGCTCAGAGCCTGGAGCCTGCTTCAGATTCTGTGTCTCCCTCTCTCTGCCCCTCCCCGACTCGCTCTGTCTCTGTCTCAAAAATGAATAAACATAAAAAAAAAAAAATTAGAGAGTTTTCAAAAGAGACAATACCTGAATATGGTTTCAGGTTCAGGAGAGAAGCATATTAAGACAGACTGAACATAAAGAAGAAAGAATAATTGATGGGAATAAAGTTTCAGAGGAAGGGAGAGGAAGAGGTTTGAGAAAAACACATCTACTTAGTCTTGAACAGGAAGAGAACTTCAATCTAACAAGCCATTTTCTTTTTTTTTTTTAAGTTATTTATTTATTTATTTTTTTTTTTGAGAGAGAGAGAATACAAGCAGAGGGGCAGAGAGAGGGAGACACAGAATCTGAAGCAGGCTCTGTGCTGACAGCGCAGAGCCCAATGCAGGGCTCAATCCCACAAACTGTGAGATCATGACCAAAGCCAAAATGAAGAGCTGGACACTACTGACTGAGACACTCACACGCGCCTAACAAGTCATTTTCTAAGACTGGAGGGAAGACAGATTCAGATTTAGGGCAAGGACAAATGGGAAGTTAATGGGAAGTTAATGAAGGTCATAGCTGGTTGCCTCATCTTTCTCAGTGGGAAGGCCTTTACTGTCTTCTCCTCTATCCCTCCAATATCATTCCACAGCTATCAGATAGGAAGACAGGACCTAGAGTGAGTTGGTACCCAGATGAAGTAGATTAGGAAGAAAAGGGAGGGAACACACATACTGGAAGAAAATGAAAGTTATTTGAGTGATGCCCAAGAACAAGTATAGCAAATTATTATGCTTGTTTTTTCCATGCTTTTGCTCATAATTATTTTTTCTTCAGTAAAGAACACTATGCTCTTTCTCTTCCCTTTACCAAATCTTATCTATAACAACTGTCTCTTTCTCTTCCCTTTGCCAAGTCTTATCTATAATAACAACATTTATAGTATATTTACATTAGGATCACTCTGGGGTCAGGCATAGTTCTAAGAACTTATGCCTATGAATTCATTGAATCTTTGTTATAATCTATGAGATAGCCCCTATTTTTATCCCCGTTTTAGAGATAAGAAAAAGACCACAGAAAAGTTAACTGATTGTCCAAAGTCACAGAACCTTGGTTGATTACAAAACATCACATGTATCATAAATAAACCATAGACAGGCAGAGCTTAGTGATCTCCTCTGCTTTTTACAGGGTGGCTACAGCCCCAAAGTTAGCTCCTTTTGGCCATAGCTGCTTTCTCTATTTACCCTGCGGAGCCGTGCAAATATTGCCATTTTCAATCTAGACTATGAAAACAAAAGAAATAAAACAAAAAGATTGGGATGCATTATTTTAAGACACAGCTTAAATTCCATCTATTCTGTAGTCTCCCTTGACCACCATGGACTGAAGTGATCTTTTTTTTCTTTTTTTAATGTTTGTTTATTTTTGAGAGAGCGCAAGCAGGGGAGGGACAGAGAGAGAGAGGAAGACATAGGATCTGAAGCAGGCTCTGCTCTGACAGCAGAGCCTGATATGGGGCTCAAACTCATGCACTGTAAGATCGACCTGAGCTGAAGTTGAATGCTTAACCAAACTGAGCCACCCAGGTGCCCCATGAAGTGATCTTCTTTCTTATATGAATTTCAATTAGAATTAATAACTAGTAATTATTTATTATGTAAGGCAGCTTCTCCTAATTCATGAAAACAAGAGCACTGGCTTAAGTAAGATCATCTAAGTTCTTCCCAGCAATATAATTTTATAGCTTCTTTCACTGTTGTCATGAATTGTTATTTAAATCTTCCTTTATTATTTATGTTTTCCTGGGTATAACACAGATAAATCATGAACCACTTGAGAACAAAGGCCATACCTTTTACTTCTTTGTATAAGGCACTACAAGTGTATCACACCAAATCGGCATAGAAGATCATAATTTATTCACAGAAAGTGCCTAAAGAAATTCAAAGTGTATGTAACAAAACTAAAACTCTTCCCTGGATTCACTGTCTCTAGTTTAATGAACTTTTGAATACTACAGAATATATAAACAATACTACCTGTTTGGCAATTTGAAAACAATAGCTTTCAATGTAAGAACAGATAAAGTCCAGATTTGTTTAGTAACATCTATATATGGCTTTCATAATTTTGTGTGATTATTGATAAAAGAAAGCACATGTTCACTGCAGAAAATAGGTTTTTCCAACCTTTTTTTTGCACTGTGTAATAATTATCCAGTTATTGAGTCCAGATTGTACATACAGGTGTGAGCACGTGTCAACAATTTTTTAAATTTTTTTTTTCAATGTTTATTTATTTTTGGGACAGAGAGAGACAGAGCATGAACGGGGGAGGGGCAGAGAGAGAGGGAGACACAGAATCGGAAACAGGCTCCAGGCTCTGAGCCATCAGCCCAGAGCCTGACGCGGGGCTCGAACTCACAGACCGCGAGATCGTGACCTGGCTGAAGTCGGACGCTTAACCGACTGCGCCACCCAGGCGCCCCAACGTGTCAACAATTTTTAAAAATCAATTTGTTTAAAGAAAGAAAGAAAAGGTAGAAATGAAAAAACAAAAAGGAAGTCACTGAAGAAAAAGTGGCTCTGACATTTTACTCGGCAATATAAGGCATGAATTTATTTATTTATTTATACCTTAACTTATTCTAGAAAAGAGTCACTAAAGGTGGCTGATGTCACACAGAAAGTTGCTCAGGAAAAAACATGAACTAAAGACCTGGAGAAAGTCATGAAGAACAGACTGATGGAATTTTGTGATAAGAAGATTCAAAATTGACCATTTTGCTTGAATGCTACCTTTCTATGAAATTATTATTCTGTGAAGCTATGATCTATCCCTGAGTATACAGAGACACTGTATGTTACAAAGGTGAAGAGTGGTGGTTCTCAACTCAGGACTGCCTCGGCTCATATTCTGGCTCTATCACTCATTATCTGTATGACCTTGGGCAAGTTTCTTTGTGCCTGTAAACTGTGTACAGTAATTATAGAATAATAATCCTGTTCCACATATAAAGCACTTAGAACAGTACATAGTATTCTATTAATATTAGCACTTATTATTGTAGAGAAATGGATATTCCAGCACCTTAACAAAGAAAACATAATTTACCTGCAGGTGAGGTTGGGCCCAGCCCGAATTCTACATTTTTGGGAAAAGAATACTTGAAAAAATTACAGCAACCAACATTACCATTTAGTTAGCACTTAAAATTTACAAAGCACTTTCAAATATATCATCTTTTTTTAAGTTATCTTTTTAATGTTTATTTATTTTGAGAAAGAACTCAAGCAGAGAGAAAGAGAGAGAGAGAGAGAATCCCAAGCAGGCTCTGTGCTTACAGTGCACAGTCTGTGAGACAGAGCCCCGAAATGGGGCTCTGACAAACCGTGAGATCATAACTTGAGTGGAAAATCAAGAGTTGGACGTTTCACCAACTGAGCCACCTCAAATATATCATCTTAATAAAACCCTACCTTAATAAAATCTCCAATTGGTTATTATCTCTATTTTCACAAATGAGATAATTGAGGTTTAGATAAATCCAGAAATGTGCCTATCAACAACTACCATTTCTGGAGACTTTTGTGACAGGCACTACATTAAGAACCTATGAGGTGGGCATTCTTATCCCCATCTCACAAATTAAAAAACTAAAGTTAAAGGACTTGTCCAAGGTTACATGGTAACATGTAACAGAGAAGATTTAAAGTCAGGTCCAAACTTTCCTCTATGCTAAATCCTGACATCTTACCCTAAAAAATGCTGATTTATTTGTCTCTACTCTCTTAGAAGAATTTAAGTCCAGTCTAGTTTTCCTTAATTACTGGTAAGAGAGGAATACTTATTATTTTGAGCTTAGACACTTTGCTTCCATCCTAACAAATCAGAGTCAACAAATCAAAGCTGGTTGTTAGATGCAACTTTCATATCAATACCAATTCAAGTAGCAGTCCTTAATTCCTTATAACTCTGAGACCAGAATTCCCTGGGCTGTGAATCTGAGAGGGCATTAGACCTGAAATTCTCTAGGTCATTTTTTTTGTTTAGAAGCCTTGATAGACCAGACAATTCTAAAATCCTCTCCCTCCTCCTATAACACGTCCAACACTCTGTTCATCTTAATTTACATTCCATTTGGAGTTTGACAATGGACATGAACTACTTAACCCCTCCTCCAAAATGTACTGAGCCCTTAACAAGAGCCAGCTAAATGCATGATAAATTAACAAATCCTAAGTTTATTAAGTCCCAGGCTTATTCAGTATACACAAGAGTATGTGTATAAGCCTTACGGGGAGTCTTTTTAAAGGTAAGCCGTCTCTGGATAGGATACAGACAGAAAGGCGATTACCATTCCCTATGGAAATACTTCAAAGGGAGAAGCTTTCAGCGTGGTTTCTGCATATATAACCAACTCATTAAGGCTATGTCAGTACCTCATTAGCACTCAACTCAGAAAAAAATGGACTATCTCATGAAATAAGGGATTTTGAGAACTATCCCCAGGAGTGTAAAGTAACTTTCCTTTCCTATTTACTGGAGAAAACCACAAAATTAGACTTGTAAAGTAAGACAAAAGCACCCTTTCATTTTCCAAGTCACTTGGTTGTTGTATTATTTCCATTCTTGTACTCCTCAGATCCTTAATGAGCAGGGGATGGGTTTTAAAGCAGACCTGAAAATTGCGTTCAGCTTAGTGTAATGAAAATCAGCTGTTAGCTTTCTTCCCAGGACTGGAGATCCTTAAGCACCTACCAAGACTTCCTTCCCTACAGTCAGGATTGAGGTATAGGCTTCCAGATACACCCGACTGCAGCGTCTAACAATTTCCAGGCCCTTGACTGTGATGTCCTTGGCATCGCCCAGGCCCAGGCCGATCAGGTAAAGCATTTCAAAGTCCAGGGAGACTGCAGGACGAAGCGAACAAGAAAAACATGTGTCAGCTACACCAAGGATATCTAAAATCTAGTGATGAACATGGAAACTGAAAACCAAAACAGCCGGAGAAGAGACGGCAATCACGAGCGAGGTCTGAGAACCTCACTCCACGCCTCTTACATAAGGACTGGAATGAATGTTTGTGAACAACCCTACCCCGCATTTTCTCGTTACACCAACCTAGGAGCACACAATTACCCTAGAGAGAATTGTAGTTGGGTCCCCAAAAGCCTAAAAGCAGCCTTTCCGAAAATATAGCTACCGAAAGCGATGATTCGCGCAGAGAAAATCCACGCCGCCGGCCTCACCGACGGTGCCGCAAAACGTCAGCGCCTTTACTGCACTTTACGACTAGCTGGAGGGGCGGGCAAGCCGGCCTCTGCGGGTGGGGTGGGGGAGATCTGCCGGCTGCGCCAGAAGTGACCCGTCCGCTGCTGGGGTGGGGAAGCGAAAGGTCAGTGGGTCGGGCAGTCTGTCTAGAGTCCCCAGCATGGCCTCTGGGAAAGGACGAGGAGCACCCGCGATCCCCTTAGCCAGTGGCTTTACACCTCCCCAACCTAGGACAGGGTAAGTGCAGGAGCTCTTTGCCTGGGAGGAGCTGGACCCGAGGTTGGGTAGCGCAGCGCGGCGCGTTACTCCTTTTCTTCTCCGGTCACGAGAACGGGTGACGTGTGGGACGGACTTCCCTAATTTGCTCGGGATCGCCCTAGTGCAGAGATTTCCATCCTCGCCTTTGCATTCCGCTGCCGTTTAACCAGCTACCTCCCTAATGAGGTGTCAGTGTAGCCAAACCCGGCCATCAGTGTGACTCTGATTTCCTAGCGGGGCGGTGATTCCTGGGGTTTGTCCCCAACCCCAAGACCTCATTCCGGAGTGCCCCGAGGGGCGTGACTGGGATATGCCTCAGCCATCCTCAGTGTCGGGAAGCCCAGAGCCGCCCGCGCGTGGCGCCCGGTGGTCGCCGTGCCCCGTGCCTTTCCAAGTGACCTTTAAGAGTGCTCAGGAATTTCAGACTTAATGCTTCCACAGGGGGAATTCCTATAGTTAGTTAGATGTAGTTCCGATATCGAAATGGTTTGTTTTGACTGTAAATGCTGTTGGTAAGGTCACTAGTGACCTCATCCAAGTTAAGAAGACAGTTTCCATTGTTTATCTTAGGCAGTGTTGATTATTCAGAATTTTCCTGCTGCTTCTCAGACAATGCCTTGTGTCTTTTTTTGCCCAATACCTGTTACTTAACCCTTAATTTTATGTTTTTTCCTAGGCTCCATCCACCCTTTGCACTTCACATTCAATACACTCTTCATGACTGATTCTATCCAGTTTCATTACATCCATCCATTCTTCATACCATAAACAAAAATTAATTCAAATGGATCATAGATGTACATATAAACTATATGGAAAACAAAACAATAAAACTTCCTAGAGAGAGGATAGGAGAAAATATTTGTGATCTTATTTAGGCAAAGACTCCTCAGGTGGAACACCAGAAGCATGATGTAGAAAAGAAAAATTGAGAAATTGAAGTTGAGAGAGATAAAACCTGTTCTTCAAAAGACATTGTTGAAGCCACACACTGGAAGAAAACATTCGCAAAACATGTATCTGGTAAAGGATTTGTATCAGGAATGCATAAATAACTCTCAAAAGGTAAAAATAAGAAAACAACTTAATTTTTTAAGTAGGCAAAGAATTTGAAAAAATCTCCCAGAGAATAAGGTAAACAGATCCCCAAAGAGGATACACTAACATCAAATAAGCCACATCATTAGACATTAGGAAAATAAAAATTAAAACCACGGTGAGAATCTAGTATATTCCTATTTGAATGGCTGAAATTGGAGGACCTGGATGGCTCAGTCAGTCAAGCATCTGACTTATCAGTCAAGTATCCGACTTTGTCTCAGGTCATGATCTCACAGTTTGTGAGTTCAAGCCCCGCATCCGCATCCAGTTTGCTGCTGTCAGCACAGAGCCCGCTTGAGATCTTCTGGCCCCCTCAGTCTGTGACCCTCTGTCTCTCTCTCTCTCAAAAATAAAAATAGTAATAAAAGAATGGCTACGATTAAAAGCAAAAACAAAATAAAACCCTGAATATTCACTCTCAATAATTTTGGGTATCTCTAGTATTTTGCTGACTCAGATTTTAATTTCCCATTTAGACCTCCCCTTCAGCCTCCTATATTTAACTTTCTGCTGGAAATCACCTAGATAACCCAGAGACATCACATTCAAAGCTGAATCCATCTTCTTCCCTTTCAACTTGGCTTTTCCTTCTGTATTATCTACTTTGGATGGAAGGCATTATCAACTACAGACTGATGCAAGCCAGACACGTGGAAGTTACCCCCCATTCAGTCTAACATACCTGCCTCTCTTGGTAGAAACCTTACCTACTGTCGCAGTCTTTCTTTAGGTCTTCATGTCGCTCCTGCAGCTGGTCACCATGTCTCCTGCACATTCATACTTCTAGGGGCCAGAGAGATCTAGCTAGGATACAATCTGAAAATGTCATTCCCTTCTAAAAATCCTTTTGAGGCCAAGAAAAAGTCCAGGCTCTTCAAAATATCCCACTGGATCATCCCTGGAGTGACCTCTGCCTACCTCTCTCTAGCCTCATGTCTCTCCACTCCATACCACGAGCTTTTACTCTGGCACTACTCTTCTGTGCCCACAACATTCTCCCTTTGTGCCTCTGTGACTTTAGTCAGGCTGCCACCTCTACATTGAATATTCTCTCCCATTCTCTCCTATCTAGGCCACTGCTCACTCTTTAAGACTAAGTTAAGGAGTCCTTCCCAGAAATCCCTGAGGTAGGGTTGAGTATCTCCTTGTAATTACAATAATACTGTATGCATATACTTATCAATCAACTTAAGTGTTTTATAATTGCCCATTTGTGTATCTTCCTTAACCAAACCATCAATTTCATAAAGTTAGGGCCTGTTTCTTATATTACACAATTACAGAATTGTATCTTATATTACACAGTTACCCAAGATACACTTAGTGCAGTGTCTGTCACATAGTAGGTATTCAGTAAATAATCATTAAATAGATCATTTATGTATACACTAGTAGCTGAGCAATTTCTTTGAATTATGGTGTAGTTTCCTATCTTTATGAAATAAATGCAGGGTGTGGTATATTTTAGATGACTCCCAAAAAGTCGTTGATGGAATGTCAAACAAAAACAATGCCTCACTTATGCCACTTTAGAAAGTTATTTACGTTAAAAGGTTTATGACACAGTTCACGTATACTTCATATGCACCCTGTTGAGTAGGTAAGCTTTCCAATGTACTGATCATGTTTTTGTTGTCAGATTTGCTTTGGGTAATTCCAGGTAGATTTACAGTGAAAAGGCAACGTCAAAAGGAATAATTAATCAAAAGGAAGGTGTTGTCTATCTCCTTTCAGGAAATCTGTATTGAAAATGAAGTTATTCTGGGTAGGTAAGGAAATATTCTTTTTAGATATGGAAGCAATTTCAGTTTTTACTCTTCAGAATTCAGTCAAAGGAACTGCTTTCCCTATAGAATTCTTAAACCTTTTTACCTGCCTTCATTTCTCAATAAGAGTGTAAATTTAGGAACTTTTCTGGAGATAAAGTAAAGGTGTTATGCAAATCTCCCCAACTCAACAAATATAACCAGCAAACTCTTGCTGTTCTTTTTTTGCAGAATTATTCTGTGTGATTTGGACATTTCTCTCTTACCATTTAAAACAGTTTCAAATATGATTGCATTTCCCTCAATAATTTATTATTAAAAATTTCAAACACTTAGAAAAGTTGAAACAGTTTTATAATAAACATCCATATAGTCACCTCTTAGGTTTGTTCTATAGTTGTTAACATTGTGCTGTATTTGTTTTATCACATGTTTATCCATTCATCCATCCATCAACCCATCTTATTTTTTGATGCATTTCCAAGGGAGTTGCAGACGTAAGTACACATATTGATTGCATTTTGCATGAAAGATAACCCCCTCATCTAGGTAAACAGATTAACAAAACAGCTTAGTTTGATGATAACGAAAGCAGTTAGTCAGAATACATATTTATAATGCCATTGCAAGTTTGAATCTCACATCTGGTGGGGGGGATGGTTATAAAGAACTGTGATTCTAGGGCTTAAAAAAAAAAAGAAAAGGATGAAATGAAAGCCTTTTTAGTTTTAGTTTAAAGAATAACAAGGATAGGGGCACATGGGTAGCTCAGTTGGTTAAGCATCAGACTGCAGCTCAGGTCATGATCTCTCAGTCTGAGTTTGAGCCCCGCATCAGGCTCTGTGCTGACAGCGCAGAGCCTGGAGCCTGCTTTCAGATTCTGTGTCTCCGTCTCTCTCTGCCCCTTTCCCACTTGTACTCTGTCTCAAAAATAAACATTAAAAAGTAATTAAAAAAAAAAGAGAGAGGCCTAGAGAGTTTTCTTCTTTATATTCCGCTTGCAGGTAGGAGAGTACCAAATCATCCCTCAGGGTGAACATTTATGCTTTTCCTGAAAGATCTTTAAGCTGTTTTCATAACCTTTGTCAGTAACTCATTTTTATACCCACACTGTCAGAAATTCTTCCTTATATCTAATCTGTGACCTTCAGGCAGTAGTCATAAAATGTGAAAGATATAGATAGTCATAAGAAGTTAATACTGATGGCTTTTCCATTCCATTGTCATAAACACATCATATAGTAGTTATATTTTAAAGTGATAACATTTGGGACACTGCATTACATTATGAACAAATCATAATTAACTTACATCTAAAAGAAGTCATCCTTCAATTTTCCTATTTCAGTTAATTGTTTGCCTATTGAAAAGAAGACATCAGGGCTACTGGGTAAACTCCATGTGACCTTATTGTGAATAGAGAATATTATTTTACTCTGAAGCTGGCCTTTTAACCTCCGTGTTCCCAGAGATTGCCTCATTGTTAGAGGATATCTTGATTAATATTTGTAGAGCTTAGACACCTCAAATTGATTGATAGCCATTATTTTCTATCAATTCACAAATAAGTGATAATTAAGATAGCATGGTGTTAGGGAAGTTCTATTTACTAAGATTAAGACAAGATTTGAAGTTATTCTAATGTGCATTGGCTTAGGAAAAAAATCACTTTATTCAGTGATTTTATTTACTCATCTATATGTTTTACATCATCTGATCATGTAAAATGTGTAATACTAAAATAAAAAATCTAGAACTATTTTCTGTGAAAAATACAGGATTTTTTATTGTTGTTATTAATGCAGGCTTAATAGGTTGAGAGTAACCATGTGGACTGATTTTAAGAAAGTTGCCTGGAGACCTGTGTTTTTGTGTAAAGTAGCTCCCTAGGATATTTACTCTTGAGTGTGTGTGTGTGTGTGGGTGTGGGTGCACGCGCGCTCACGTGCGCATGTGCGTGTGTGTATAAG